AATGAGTGAGTGAGCCACTCACTCACCTAGGATGGAGCTCAAGTCAAGGAAGACCAAACGAGGGGCAGCCTGATGAACTTCACAGAACTAATTCCCCCTGGTAAATCACTGCTCTATGACACCTAAGCAAAATACTACTCTGTTCACCCATGAAACTCGAAGTCTTTCCAGCTGTTTTCTCAGGATAAGGGCTGCACAAGGACAGCGCTACCAGGGCTGCTAAGCTTGACCACAGGAAGAGTCATAATGGGCACAGCTTTCCTGGGCACAGATTTGCACAAGCCTGTCTGTACCTGCCTGTAATGGGACTGTCTGCAGTTGGCATTCTTGCAGACTGGCACTGAGGCCACTTCAGATCAAATTTCACTGTTGACTTAAAGAGCCCTTTGCCGGCAACTTGTGTTCCACAGTGCTCTGCTGAACTAATTCTCAATTTGGTCCTTTGCCAACTGCTGTTGTCAGAAATCCCGAGGAACCAGGGATTCATATTTTTTCTGTCTGCAAGTCTCACATCAGATCTTCCTTCCTCGACCCCTCAGTTATGAGCACATTGACCAATTTCAAGAAAGTCTGAAAGGAGGGTGCAAACCTCAGCAACAACTGGTTTCTAAATATTTTGTAATGGGCAGCTAAGTAGGAGCCCAACTCATCTGTGCATGGTAAAGGAGACAGGAGAGGGTAGCCCACACACTTTGTGTTTATCCAGCATGGATGTGAATATAGACTTACCCACACCAAATGCTGGCTCTGGGGTTGTTTTTTTTCAGGCCCAGTGCTGGCTCTTGGCCAACATTAGGAGACATCCAGAGAGCTACTATATTGTGCAGCTGTTCTGGTGGGGCTGGAGCTGTTGAAGTGCATGGAAAGAAAGGACACAGAGAAGCTGGCAACTCGGCTTCATTAGTGTGACTGTTGATGGAACATGTTATTTCATTGCTCAAAAGAAAACTTTAATATTACTGGAAAGAATGAAATTCACAAGGGAAACCACACACCAAAAAAAAAAAAAAAAAAAAAGGAGATGAAGGAAGATGGTTTACATGCTGGTGATTCACTCTGAGGAGATAAAAGAAAATGAAAGAATATCCCCAACCATTTGGATCCCTAAACACTAAACATATAAACTTATTGCTATGATAGCTCCTCCAGACATGAGTCATACATTTTAAATCCTTATGGGGTCAATCAATTTAATTTCATAAATGAATTACACCACCAAAACCTGACCAAAACCAGACCATTGAATCCGAACTGGCTCACTTCAACCTTTGAGAGATGTCGATAAAACTGTGTGTGAGCTGAAATGCTTACCAGCAAAAGCTGAGAGCAGTAAATCAAATTTAATAGGCTAGTTTTGTTGACTGTACAGGAATGATGCCTGAAAAAAAAAACAACCCAAGCCTGAACTAATGAAATTCCTAAAGGATACACAAAGACTGTTTCATTTCAACATGCCTAGTGATCTGAGTTTCTCTTTGGTTGTTTTTATGTGCATAATCCACAGAATTTCTAAATTAAGACCAGCACTTAACATATAAAATATTTAGAAGGGCTTTCCTGACAAAAAAGGTCCACTGCCTCCCTCAATAGCTGGTTCCAATAGTTAATTACTCTCATTTATGTTTAATTTAAATTTGTGTCCCTTCATTTTCCAGAAGCTTGATATTTTTTTATGCTATTATCTGCTACATTAAACTGCACTCCTCTTTCATTTATCTTTCCTCCATGTGGTCAAGTTACCTTTTAAACTCTTCTGTGCAACAAACTGACATTCTTCCACCACTCCACTTCCACTACAGATAACTGTGACCTCTCACTGTGCTATAGTGGGGCTTGGGTTTAATTAATTTATATTTTCTGGGATGGCATGAAAAAAAAAGTGTTTTCAACCTCATCTTTATTTTCTGCTCTTCAATTTCTCCTACGGCAAATATATTGCCAGTATATGATGCCAAACTGATAAAAGATGAAAAGAGAAGTCAGAACTCTTTACTATCGAACTAACCCCACACTGCCCTTCTCTCCTTCAGAGTCCTATAAAATCACCAGCCTGGGCAGAGATGCTCTCCCATGATATATAGATTAGGAAATAAATGCTGTATCCCCAGCACTGTGGAATAAATGCAGTCAGCAAATGCCAGCTTCTATTGCAATGCCAAAAGCCAGCAGAGACCTGAGCTTGCTCTTGCTCTGCATCAGGACCAAATAATTCATCTCCAGGCATGAAATACAGTATCCAGTGATCAATACCCTGAGTCATCTTGTCCTCCACTCAAAAATAAACCTTCTCTAGGTCCAAGAGTAGCTCTCCATCCTCCAAACAAAATTTAAAAGCTGGAGAAGAAGCAAACCCATCAATTTTATTTTCATTTTATAGTCAGCTGTAGTGTTGATGTCCACTTAACACTGCATAATGTTGCTTTGGTTAATCTCATAAATGTGTGCCCCAGAAATACAATGACTTCTGCTATTTAGTACAGGTTTTGTACAGCTATGCCTTTTGCAGTATTTGTGTCTCATTTCTTGCAAGGATATGGAACTTCACTTTTTCTATTACATCTAGAAAAAGATGACTATAAATTCTTCTGCTGTGATATAAAGCTCAAACTACAAAAGACATCTCACAAAATTACTCCTGTTTGCATTCTGAAGATGGAGCTTGTCATTAGAAAGATGAACATTTTTACATTCTTCTTACATTTTCTAGTATTATAATGACAGATATTATGGCAAGTACCATAATCTGTTCCACTGCAGTGCAAACAGTGCACATCACCTCCCTAATAACATTGCAAAAGCTGGAGATGGGAGTTCATTATTTTCTTTGCCTTCTGCCAGGATATTGCTGATCCATATAATTACTGCAGTTGCAGATGCATGCAGCATTGGGACAGCATCTTTTCTCTGGGCAGTTGCACTGTACTAATATTGTACTGATACTGGGACTGTACTGCTTCCAGCATTGTTATACTGGAAATATAGGTATGAAAAGCTCTAATTCATATTTTAATGCCTGTTAAAAACTACAGGCAACCTCCAGTTTCATAACTTGCAACTTGGAGATAGCATTTTGCTGCCCCAGCTAACTGTACACTCAGCAGGGTCACATCCTTTCCTTAAGAGAAGCAAGGTCACAAAGTCCTGTTCTTTTCACTTGCACCTCATTTGAGAACAACAGCCCATTTTCAGGTTCTCTTCCAGTGAGTTAGGCCAGAAAAGTCTGTCATGTGGTCACAAATACAAATAGTGAGGAGTTTCATTTCATGCATCCACATGTACACTTCTAAAACGTGCACTGGGAACGTACTGGTTTGGGCAGGGAGTACACACAGAGGTATGTGCAGCAGGAGGAGGCCTGTGTTAAAGTCCCTGCTCTGTCAAATTCAGTGTGAGGACATGATTCTGTCCCTCTGGCAAGACACATCCTTGCTGCCCTGTTTCAGAACCCACTGCAAGCAGGATGTTTGGTCTGTGCCAAACTGCCAGAATTAGTGATCTCATATGAAAGGAAGCACTGGTCAATGATTCAGTTTTACCAGCAGCTCAATGGCCTAAGGATGATTTCCTTATACACAGGAGCACTTAATCTCTGACATTACTGGGATCTGTTTGACTTCACCTACCAGTATCACAGTGACATGCTGGTGGAGAGCAGAACTAGTCGTGGGTTATGTTCAGTACCCACAACAAATGCAATCGGTCTGAATTAGCAGGGATTGAGTCTCGGACTCCTGGAAATAAATTGTGGTATTACATTTGTCATCTGTGAGCCTTTAACAGCCACAAAACACTCACAGCATAGGCCTATGGTCAACTTCAAGCAAATTATACAGGGCATTTCATACTGTGATTAAGGTGAACTGGACCCTGCAGACAGATGTGTGTGTGTTCACCACAATTTATCTTCAAAGACTGTCTATAAATCCTATAAAAGGAGGTGTCAGTTGGTTTTTGGGATTGTTGTATTTTTTTTCACCTGTTAGGTAGAAGGAGGATTTGAAGAAAAGATTTGAAGCAAAATGGAATAAAAGTATACTTTAAGATATATGAATACAACAGTATAAAAAGAAAGGAGTATTTTAAAATCATCTCCAGTTAGAGGAGTTCCAGGAATTACATCATGTTCTCAGAATTCATCATTCACTCTCCAACACTGACACTAGCAGAACCATGACATGGTACAAATTTATGGCCAAATGCATCCTACACTCTGTGTAATACACACACACACAAACACACACACACACACACACACACACACACACACACACACACACACACACAAGTAAATCTGATCCTGAGCAAATGCTATTGCAAAGCTTTTCCCTCCATAACTTTGAAACATGACTTGCAGCATTTAAATGAAGTACTTCAGCTAACAGAGCTTAAAAACAGAGCAAAAATACCAAGAGCAAGAAGCCAGTTCTTGAGAGGTCAATTAACTTTTATGAGCTACACTGCCTTAAACTGGGCTAGAGAAAACCCTTCTGTTAAGATGGTCAGTGCCAAGCTCTGTGCCCAGCTGGGATCACAAGGCACAAGCTTTGCTAGCCAGTCTCTTGCATGCAAACCTGTAGAAAGGAGTCTTTGGGGCATTGGTCATGCCAGATAGCTAACACAAAGAAAAGGGCATCAGATCTTATTTTTCCTGCTGGCTATGCCCTGTATTATCTCAGCTCAAAGCACCTTCACCTTCCTGGCTTCTCCTAAGTCAGTGGTGACTCATCAGTACTTTAATGGAGGTCTCTGTGGCTTAATTCATTTTCTGAAAAGAGCTTGAGACCATCACATGAAGGATGCTACAAAAGTACAAAGAGGTTAAGTCTTGTAACTCTTACCCATATGCTATGTATGTGCCTTTGTGCACTTTTATAAAACCAAAATTTGCACCTGATCCTAGAGCAGGGAGGGAACCATTTATTCCCTCTCCTCCTCACCCATGATGCATTCCCCCCTTGCTTCCTTGTGCATGAGGTTTGGAAAAAGGAGGTCCAACATACCTAGCAATCGAATTTGCATGATTGCTCCATGTAAAACGAAGAACATCCAGAGGGGCTGGGAACAGTCTGCACAGAGCTGTATGCCAATGCCGGCACCGTTGTGACTCAAGTGCAGCTCACCATCTGAATTCATCGTAAATCCCAGGATGTCTCCGCTCTGGAGAGGCACCACCACTCGGCAGATGGCCCAGAACTCCTTTCGGTCAACCAGAGACTCGGGGTTATAGGGGAGGTCACTGGGGCGCAAGGTGCTGGGGTCGCAGGACGTCACCCCGTAGGAGAGCGTCCCTGTGCGCACAGCGTTGGACTTGTTGATTTTGACGAAAATGGTTTCATTGATCCGAAGGGGCCTGCTGGTGAAAACCAAAGTCCTCTCCTCCCGGGCGTGCTCCAGACGGGCCACAGTTTGGTCATCGAGGATTTTGACATGGGGTCCCCGGAGGTGGTGGAAGCGGAGGTCGCTTTCCAGCTGGGAGGGGAGGAGGTGGGAGTGCTGGGAGTTGAGGGAGTTCTGTGGGATAGGACACGTGGTGGCTGTCACGTGGAAGGTCTCCTCCTGCAGGTTGAGGTCACACAGGCTGACTGAGAGACGCGTGTCCTCTGTGTCCCGCCGCAGCGAGGGCCGGCGGATGGCAGTGAAGGAGCGTGGCCGCAGGCAGTCAGGAGGGATGATTTCACTGTCTGTGGGGAGAAAGAAGACAAGAAAGGGGTCACTTTCTGAGAAAATGAAAATGTCCAGGAGTTTGCGAATCACCATGGGTTTGATTGATACGCTTAAAAGGGAAAATCAGAGACCTGCTGCCATTAATACGGTTTTCCCTTTGAAATATGGAAGCAGAGTAACATAAAATATACTTGCAATCAATTGCTGTTCTCTTGCTTTCCCCACCAGCATCAACAGTTTCAGCTTCTGAGCAGGCAGACTTAAAATCGATGACAAGAATTGGCCAGGGGAATCTCTCCTTGGAGAGGGGAAGCAGAGGATAAATATTCGAAATACACCCTGAACATACCAATCAATATCTATACAGGCTCCAAGTTTTCATGCCCTCTTTATTGTCTACAGTAATTCTCACAGCCCTATGAAATAAATATCTAACTACACACTGTTTTATTTAAAAGAAATTGCTATGTTCAGTTCCGAATTATTTATCTCCCTATGAAATTTAATTATTTTTTCTGAATATAATTAATCATTAGTGTTCTGGTGCTCACTGCAAAGCAGTACAGATATTAACTTTACAGTGCAGAATTTGGGAATTCTATAAGTAAAATACAATTATTTATTATCTCCATGCCAAATAATTAAAAATCAAATCCATGTATATATTACAAAGAAAGATGAAAAGACATTCAAATCCACCAATGGAAACAAAATTGTACCTTATCCTCTTTGTTACTCTCACCTGCTGCTTCAAAAACTAACCAATTTAATTCTTTTTCCAAGGGAAACATAATCACCTGTCTTTAATGCTGAAATTATTTATACTTAATACATGGTTAGCTATGCTGTTACCGTAGAAATCCTAAGGAATGACATACTAAGAAAAAAAAAAAGTTGTTAAAAAATTATAAAGTGAGCTGAGATAATGCAAAGATTTCTTCTTATGTCCAACTTTCTCAACTCTTGAGAAGACTGTAGCATGAGGAGACTATTTACTGTGCAAAAACTGAGCATGTGGGTAGCTCTCTGCAAATGTTGTAAGAAGTATAGACTGTGCCTCTGTGGAGCCATGTCTGAAGGCTGTAGTGGCTTTGAGCCTGGGTCCAAACAGTATGAGGTGGGACCACCACATACAACACAAACCCCCCCAGGTGGCACAAAATGACACACCAGGCCCAAGTGCCACAAACACACCCCAAGGTGGAACAAGAGGAGGCAGGGTCATTCCTAACCCATGTGCTAGGCCCTCACAGTGGACACCCCTTCCAGTCAGGTATCCTTGGAATTTTCTTTCACAACAACAAAAGAGCAGGACCTCAGGTATCTGAGGATTTTCCCAATGGGATGCACTCTCTCCCAGTACACCAGAGTAGTAGCTCTGTACTGCTATGCCAAGGAATAATGCCAGCTACTAACCAACAACTCCTGCAATATCTGAGGTCTGACTAACTGCCTTTCCTGCCCTCCTCTTCTGGGAGCCCTGACAAGAGCACACCCACACACAGTTTGGCTTCAGTAGAGCTCTTTGCTTTGCTTAAACTGGATTATTCCAGGCTCCTCTTTAAATAAACTTCTATTACAAGGGAAGCACAGTCTCAAAATAAAAATGGGATTTGTTTCTCATATTTGATTTTCTGCATACTGATATTTCAGCTTCTCTTCCCAGAGGTTAATTAAAGGAGGAATAAATAAAATCAGAAATTACCCCAAGTTATCTAGAAGTGGGTCGCATTAATGCTTCATAATATATGGGCTAGCATTTGCATTGCAAGTGCTCCTGCTGGATAGCATTAGACTTATTTTACCCTCCTTTGGCTGGAAACCTACATAGGAGAACAAATTAATACTGGCAGCTGACGACGATCCTTTTGTGAAGGTGAATGGGTAGAGACCTTTCTGAATAGGAACAGAAGGTCCTCTCTATTTTATTCCCTGTAACTATGCATGTGCAGCCTGGCTGACAACTGTGATGTGTGGGTAGCTTGCAGCCAGGGTTTTGAAACAGCTTGTTTTCCACCAGGATGCTTGCATTTCCCTTTGGCTGCTGGACAGAATATCATTTTCCATCTGAAAAGAGGTTAAGAGAGATGGAGTTCTGCAGACAAGACACATGGTAGTGACAGTAAACCAGGGTTACATATAAAATTGTATTATTTAAATCCCTTGGTAGCTCAGATGCATGACCACCTAAGGAATAAGATGTCTCAAGCATATAGGATTGACTGTGAGAATTCTTAGTTCATTGATGTTTGCAAATACCCATGGAAGAAAGGATTGCAGTTTACTGGCTTCTGAAGTGTGTTTGTGAAAATTTAGAGAGATGAGTCTCTAAGAGATGCTGGCCTGTATCACAAAGTATCCAGCCAAAGGAAAAAAAAGTCCTATTGACTATAAATCACAACAAAAGTGGGATTCATCTTTTGGGGTGGTAGATAGGTTGGAAGAGAAGTAGAATGCCATATACCCAGAATAACTGATAACAGCCAAGGGCTATGAAACAACAATTCTGGTGAAATGTGGAACAAATGAGGTGACTTTGACTACTTTCTTTCAGCAGAAGATGCCCAGGAATGAGTTGTTTTCTTCCCCTAAAGCTTCAGTTGTCACTTTTTAAACCAAGCTATTCCAGCTGAATATAGACGAAGCTGTTCATGCTGGAGCAGCCCATAACACAGCCTTACTACTGCAGAACATTTACAAGTGATCTTTAAGGCCTGCAAAGGAGAGACTCCTCTGCTCAGGAACATTTATATTTGCAGAGACAAATCTGGAGCACACATCAGAAACATGGAATGACTTTATGTGACCAGACTGTAAGACACAAAATGGGTCCAACAGCACACTACAGAGGATCACCCAGCTTCAGGCCAAAGAATTTAGAAACCATCCATCCCTTCTTATTAAATGTTCAAGGTTTTAAATTTTCCTGTATGAGGCCGTTGGCAGTGTTTCTTCAGGAAAAGTCAACTGATAAGAGACCTCCTTGGGTGAGAATAGATGGACTTGTGAGTGAAGACCACAGCTGCCCCCAAACCACCAAAGCAAGCATTTACCCATGTGGTTGGGATGCCACCAGCAAGCTGGCCATGACCATGGCAGCTCAATGCAGGCTGGCTGCCCAGGTAGCTTTCCAGAAAGATTTTGCTGATCTCTGCATCAGTGCAGTTACGATGTTATTTCTGGATTTAGAGACTTCAAGTTTCCGGTAGCAGTACAGACAGAGCCAAAGTGGAAAAGATTTCTACTAAATATAGATTTTTCTGATCCTTAGCTGGAGAATCTGAGACACTGAAATTAAAGGATGCCTGTCTCCACAAATACCTTTGTATCTTTTTCTAGCTTTGTTTAAGAAAGAAAAGGAGGAGTAAATAATTTATCTAAGTAGAAGTGAAGGGCACATGAGCAGTTCAGCCATCTTCTGTTCTCTTTAGTGAGGCTTACCTGCAAAATTTAGATTTTCAGCAGGTGATTCCTTACACAGACAATTAACTTGAAGTATCTCTCTCACACCAGAAGTTTCAAAGTTTTCACTTTTTCTGCTCAGAGGATATGGAAGAGCTTCCCACTTTGTGCAGGCTCAGTGAGACAGCAGTAACACTTCAAAAAAAGTATTTACAAAGACCTGATGAGCAGACAGATGCAGTTGTAATCACTGCACTCAGATCAGAAGTATTTCACTACCACCTTTCTTCTGAACCACTGCCAAATATTGTCTTCTTAGAATAATCTATTTCCTTAAGCTTGTTAATATATAGACATATTTATTACAGAGACCAAATACATGCACATTGAATACAGCTCCATGCCCATCCAAACACAAAAGCATTTCTAACCACCAGCATGCACAGATCATCTCAGCCCTACACCAGCCTGAAGGGGATGTGTTGCTGTCAGACTGTCAAATCATCATTTCCTTCCTCTTTTTCTTTTTCAGTACTGTCTGTCACTGCCTAAAGGCCTGATTTTCCAAGGTCATGAGCAGCCAGTATTCATAAACCTGCAAAGAATCTGAGAAAGCAGAACAAACTCAGCATGGCTGCACACGCTGGAAACTCAGACAGTCCACTGTTTAACCACAAGCTCTAGGGTTCCAGATCTCCTCTGGATCAGTTTCAATCCTACAGCCTCATATGAATTGTAATTCTTCAGAGTGTGAGGTCTGCAACCAGTCTCCAGAAGGAGCTATGGAACACCCAGTATAAATAAACCAATCTTGAGAGTTACTACTACAAAAAATAACTTAAAATTTGGGGAATCAGATGGAGAACCTAAGAACACAGACATTTCTAATGATCCTCCCTCTCAGAAGAAAGAAATGCTGAGAAGTCAAGGAACAATCTGGAGAGCATTTCTGTTCTCAGCTACTAAGCAAAGAGTAAAAAATTGTTAAGACCAGAACTTTGCCAGTATGCTGCCTCCCTTTCCTTGCAAAGACTCATGGTTTTCCTTCTTTCTGTTCTTTGCTTTACTTCTTTACAAGGGCAATTTTCTTTTCTTAATCCCTCACTTCACTGGGTAATAGTATTTTCAGTGAGTACTCGTGCTCATGGCATAATTTCTGTGACCTCAGAGGTGCTAAGCTACCAACAGACACATTTAAGTCACTGGCCTCTACAAGAATATTCTATGTAAATGTGCAACTGCAAAAAGATGTATCCTGTATTATTCCCACCACACTGGAGGGGCTCCACTCCCACTCAGAAATGCAGATGAGGGCTGCTTTTCCCACTGTTAACACTACCTGTCACAAGGGGCTACACAGGGAGGACAGCTGGCCTTCCAACACCTGTAATCCTGCACTAACTCCTCCATGGTCTACAATAGAATTAGGTACCAAACAGCCTATCTGGAAAGACTTCGACATTTCAGGGAGAGGTGTCTGAAATATGAGGCAGATATATCACGCTGTAAAATAACATCTCACTCAAAAGGCAACTGGGAAAAGCAATCGGTTGTAAAACAAGAAATAAACCTGTGCTTCTGGAAACTTTCTGTCACTCACAGCCTCATACTCCCC